ATATTAGTATCACAGGAATAATGTGTTTACATGGAAAATGTTCCAATATGACCACTTTTTAGATTATTTTGCATATGTTTTTTTTTAAAAACATCTCAGTAAAAACGTTAAATATGACTGACGCGACGGTGCATGTATGTGATTCATCACACAATAATGTTTGAATGATCTACTGTGATCATTTTTTATGATTTAATGGTAGAAAATCATACATTGTGTATTTGTGTCTAGTTTTACTAGGATCTGTTTACAAGAATTCGTTACAATTAGTTGTAGTACCCCAACGTAATTTCTTTTATTTTGTAAACAACTTGTTTGCACGGATCATTTCAATACTTTGATTAATATACGTAATTGAATACGAGAAGTAACTAACCACGATCCACGTTTTGTGAGTGTTATTTCAGTGAAGAATAACATTTCGACAAGTTAACGACGTTTATTTTGGTGAATATTTGTAAATATTTATATAGCCTAATAGATGAAAGTTGTGGTGTGCGTTCTTTACACCGAGGGTCGGGGTGGCACTCTTATTTAATGTACACTATACATGAATGTAAACAAATACATTGCATTAACTTTTACTACCTCTGTACAAAATGTCTTCCTCAATTATACAATAAACTTAGCTAAAATGTATGATATATCAGTGCCCACTGCGTTTCTTAAATCCAACCATTACTACTCCGTGTCCGGTCGGTGTTTTTGTTGACAGTTGTTGTTGTTGTGGTGTTGGTTGCTATGACATTTGCGGACTGACACAAGGCTACTATCATGCCACGGTTCTGAAATACAAGTAAGAAAAAAAGCGTATTATTGTTTACTCTAGCACATCATTTCGTACTTTCATTACTGTCATGCTATATATAGCTACGCTTTGACCAACCGCTGATGTACAAAAATATAAACACGCGCGTTAAAATAATCACTGTCATCTTGCCGCGTCATGTTCTATGTGAGTCCCACATTACGTATACAACGCGCGTGATATAATATGTCTATTTACACGATATTTGAACGCGCATTACACGATCACTTTGACGATACAACACTGTATATGATATGCCGTATACCTCGGCAGTGCCCCAGCTGATGACGATCATCAGGCGACAAGTCTGTGCCACTCAGTGAATAAGGAGGATGTACATGATTGGAGAATCCAATAGAAACCCATACCACATGTTAGTCTGGCACCTAATGGCTCAGTCATTTTAACATTATTATTTTAGGTCACATATGTTGCACATTTTATCGTTTTGTATATGTCCAGTATCACGCCTTCTCGTCAGTTGTTGTCATAGTAACTACATGTATAACAGATGAGGTTGAAACTCGCAATATGTGTATCGACTGTTTTTTTGTCGGATTTTGTTTATTTTCAGCTGAATTCAGAAAGTGTGCGATAAATGAAATAGTTATCACAACAAACTACCTTATCTCACACGTCAGATCTGATGATTATATATCGCCACCAACGGCAGAAACGGCATTTCCACAATATCGATAAATGCGAATGAATCGAACATTGATAAAAGCAATACGTATGGCAAATACTGAAAAAAGACAGTTGTTAATTATTTGCAGCCGATTTGCACGTTAATTCAAATCGTTTTAAAAATATCATATATTAGACCAAATATGAAATACTCGACTGTATGCTAGAATGTTGGCATAACAACAATCTGACGCCACGGCCGCCAAATAAGTAGCTTTCGTAAATTGCGTGCACCTGCGAAGATTCTCTTTCTAATTGCATGCATTTTATATTGGACATCTGAAACAGATAATGATAACGCCTCGCCACTAGAGGGCGCAGCTTACAGGAAGTGGATTCTTCGTCCACATTTCAACATTTTTTGTTTTCTACTACTCCAATGTATTTGTACTAAAACATGCGTTATACTGTCACCTCATGATTATTACTGTCATTATTAATATTTTTTCTTATTTAATATCTGAATCATAACCTTAACAACACTTGAAATTCGAGTAATACGTAAATTACGCGAATAATGAAGTAAATCGTGCTCGTGCATTTATTACCCTCAAGGAAGTCGTTAGACGTCATCAAGAGTCGGGCCATGTTAGTAATTTAAAATTTGCATTACGCTATCCCGGGAATCGAGTTTTGTTTTATAGCAGTAGAAATACAGGCATTTAAAAGTAATCGAGAAAAAACAGTTTCGTTTTCCTGTTGCATACTACAAGAAATTAATTATTGATTAATTATCAATTAATTGTGGTTAATTAAGTCAGCGGTAATTGTTATAACACGCGTTTACCGGTTTACTCGGCTTGTGGAGACATTTCAAGCAGGCGAGTAAAGTCATCTTGCATCAACTATTGCCCACAAATACTCTCCTACCTCTTTTTTTATTCAAGGAACGGTCACACTGCTTAACAGTCAAAGGATATGATTTATAATGCCACCTGAAAATTTATCAGATCTCCACAAAGCCGTTAATTTCTCAAATATAGTATATGTAATCGCACGAGTCAATGTGTGTGTTATGATTGCAGATGACTCACAAATGGAGTTTAAAAGTGTCGAACGATAATGAGTTGCGGCTGCAAAAAAAAAAAAAAAAAAAAAAAAACGGAAAAGATACAACAGTTGCTTGAATACAGGGATACTCAATATAAATTAAAAAGAATCAAATATATTCCCTGTCATTCGGTAATTGACAAAACGATGCCTACCTCGTAATAATTTAAGGTATTAATTATCAGATTATGCGTATATTTGCAGCGTACATATAGTTTTGTTGTTTGAGCTGTATAGTTTGGATTTAAAGCGCCACCCTTGATCTTAGTTTTCGATTTAGAACGCGCGGCGTTTACTATAATCATTTGTATAAAAAACGTAGCGCTACTAGATTCTCTTATACTAAGTGTTGTGTTCACAAGTTTCTCTTTTTTATTATCCCTTTTTTTTACTAAGATTGATGTTGTAAGATTATATGGTACTATGTGAAATGCTTTAGAATTATTTCGTACTATGTGCAGTGTTTTAAGATTCTTTTGCACTAAATGTGGTGTTTACGAGATTTCTTTGCACTGAGTGGTGGGTTCACAAAATTTACTAGATTCTTTAGTGTAATTGTTACAATTTTTTTTTCTAAGTGTGGCATTTACAATGTTTTTTAATCCACAAAAGTGCTGTAGGTATGACGTTTACAAGATTTCATATTACAAAAGTCATGTTCACTAGATACCTTTGCACTAAGTGTGCCGTTTATAAGATTATATATATATATATATATATATATATATATATGAACCGAATGAATATCAAAATCAAAATAAATTGAAAACAAACAAATAATGTCATGCAAACGCAACATTTATTTTAAAATGATTACAAAATAAGAAACATATAAATTTAATATACAATATTCACATTCTTTAAAAAATCCCCAAAATTATAATTGATACTAAAACACGCAAACACAGTTAACGATTTACCACATTGTCATGCATATTACGTTTTTACAACATTCTTTAAATATACATTTGTACACAGCGAATGTTGGATAACAAATGATCAGCAAAATCTTGCGTTCTTTTGTGAAAATCGTTGCCAATAAATTATGTTAACAGCGATACATTTTTAAGATCAACGGCAGCAATGGATGGGAACGACGTTTACTAGGACCGAACACTGCGCACGCGCGCAAAAATTAAGTAAGCGCGAAGGACTATAAATAAGGTATAACATGACCTGTCGGTTCATTTACGTCTGTTGTCAGTAAATAAACAACACCCTGGTTGGGACAATGTGAAGGGATATTGTAGTAACCCAACCCTGACAAATCATTTTTTACAAACGATAACCGCACAACATCCGACAGTTTGTATACACTAAGTACGCAAGTGTACACTTATATCCATGATTTAATGTGATTAGAATCAACCTATACTAATTTACTGGTTTTTTTATACACACAGGATATCGTGTACAAAAAGTGGCGCTAATGGGAATGTCTGCACTAGCAACCACAGAACGCAAAAAGGTCGTTCATATTCGAGCTATCTCTTTTCATAGTGTAACGTGTAAATTTTAATTTAGGCGCAAGTTGTAAATTTTTCTTATTTTTCTTACCAAGTACAAACAAAACAAAATGAACATTGTAGAACTATTTTCTTCGGTTTGAGTGAAAAGTACTGCGGCGGCCTTTCATTTTTTAAATGTGGATATTATATTTGAGCATGTTTGTTATTATATCTTGATAAGACAATAGACCATGATGTACAATGAAATAGACTACTATTCTGGCAGTAAACATGGCAGTATTTATAAAATGGAATAATTTAGTGCACGTGCGAATTTAGCATAAAACTAGAATGTAAAAGTCAAGGAAATCCGACGATATGTTAAATGTGAACAAAGCCGTGCGACCAATAAAAAAATATTCGCTGGTTTCTGGACACGTGGTATTCTATTCGATTGCGTCAGTAATTCAAAGTCGGGTCACGACACATGCATGCATCCAGATGTGAACTGATATATGTGACTAGTGATAATAGCAGACGGAACACAACGGACATCTTAACAATCGTATTCAATTACGTAACACGCAAATGATCTTTTAGTGCTCCACAACATATTGATTTCTCACTGTCTCAATGCATTTAGTAATATATTCATATAATATTACAGAACTAAACAAGAATTGTTTTCAACGTTATCCTTAAGTTCTGGACGTTTTTAGTAACGTGAAAACTAAAATAAAAATGAAACAAGTGATACAAATTAATTAAGGAATAAATAAATAAATAATAATTTAATTTGACACAAACTTGTCCTTCCCTTAGCTTGCCTAACATTCCACAACAACATGTAACCACTTTACTCAAACACAGGTACATACAAACACTGACGTTCCCGCCAAAACAAGTGTTCATTGTAGTAAGTTAATGCCACTACAAGTTTTGCAAAGTAGAACTTATGAGCATCGTCTGCACACTTTTAGCGAGAACGTCAACAATTATTATTGTTATTAAACGCTAGTTACTCTCATAGAAATCTCGGTAGATTTAGTCTTGCTGGTACTTGTCGAGGGCGTCACGCCAGTCTGACCTCGTTTCTGTTTCACCCGCCTTTTCTTGGCGCGGACCTTACGCTGCCACATGCGCACGACACGCTTGTTGCACGTGAATGCAAAGAAGATGAATACACCCTGCGTCGAGTTGAGAATGATGAAGAGATACCAGAAGCCCGGAAGAGCAGTGAAGGCCCCTATAAAACCAAATATCCATGTGAAACCCATGATTGTCGATAGCTGAAAAAATCAAACAATTTAAAAGACTTATAAGTAAAAGAAACATTTGTTGACTTTGGTGGAATGCAAAATTTACTCTTGATACACGTTTGTGTTGCATAATATGATATGACGAGACTACACTAAAGTACATAGTACAGCAATTGTGTGAACTGAGGTCGAGTTGGCACCATATCATGAATGAAAGGGTGAAATTGCGAGTGAAAAGTTTGTGTATATTCTAGTGTACCCACCTTTATATATAAGAGAAGCTGTCCTCTGATATTGCTAGCTTTAGTCTTCTTTGTTGCTTGTTGAGCAACTCTGGATGTTGACCAAATGGCGAATACTGTCCGAAGAAAATATACCAAATTGAACAGAATAATAATGGCGATTGGTACCATAAATGATACGATGAGAGAAACCGGATCTGCCAGCCAGCATGTATAGCCTGTCCCATAGCCAATCAGCGTGCTAGTGGAGAAGTTCAGTATAATGCATATGAGAACTATTAGCGCAGGTGTTCCCCAAGCATACATCATGTATTTGTACAGTAACGCGTTCCTGTCGTTTGTGCCGTGCAGACGCACATTTCGACGAAAGGTCTGACAGATATCAAAGGCCATCACATTCATCCAGAAAAATGCGGCCAGCCACGAATAGTGCAAGGTTATAGCGATGATGATACAGAATTCGTCACTATGCGATGAGGTGAACAATAAGAAAGATTGACCAACCAAAAGCGCTATAATCAAATTCATGATGGTTTTGCCAGGTATATTTCGAAGGCTATGAAATACACAGTAAGTGGCCAATGACAGGAGAAGGAACAGAATAGAAAGGCAGCTACCTACAGCAGTAAGAATTGTCTGAGAAATTGAGTATTGAAAGAAAACAACTTGCCTCTGAGAGGTCATTGTTCCGTTTTGATTGAACGTATTACAGACATAAAGTGTCCCGTTTCTGATTTGAAATTCACCAGGCCCAAATATTGTCTCTGTTGGAGAGTAGTACATAGAATGATTGTACTCGCCTACAAACTCAATGTAGTTGCTACCCAGATTAACCAACGTGCATTCTATGAGCTGCGATTGATGATGAGAACTCTCGCAAACACCCACTATAACTATGTGTTCCCATGATACATTGCGATATGTGGAATACATTTGCCAATGAGTATTCTGATCTTGATACCATATTCTTGTATCGTTAGAATAGAACATAGTTCCTTTGTCTGTCTCTTTTATTTCCTGAATAGTGTGAGTCATGATTCTGTGGTCGGAATCAGTGCACGTGTAATTACCATCTTTATTTGTTTCACCAATACTCACATACGTAATCGCAATCATTTTGTCTGAATACCAATTCTCGTATCTCAAGTTTTGCTCCAATGAAACCGCAAGTGAAGCAATATTTATGTGAGACACAGGGATAAAAAAAGAATAAACATATGAATAACTCGAAGTACTTAAAAAATGTTTTTCCGTATTTGAATACACTTCCAATGATGGGCTTGTCACATATTCCATTGGGATATTTAGAATATTAGTAAAAATAGAGGCCATATGATGTTCTATATTAAAGTCGTCTGATTTGGCAATGTGACTTTCCAGAAATGCAACAAGCTGCAAGAACCCTTCAGACCGGTTTTGCTCATCAGACAACCTAACTGGAGCTGACATTATTTGGATACACGCTCCATCAGTCAACTCGAATCCCTGGGAGCAAGAGAGTTGGCGACACAAATTTGCCACTGGGTCATAGACCTGATGCTCATCACAAGTCACGTGACTTTCCACGACTATGTCATCACCAGAGGTCAGGCGCAGTCCTGTATGGGAATTAAAATCCAACAACATAGAGAATGAAATACCCACGCCAGATATTCTTGCCCCATCAAATTCACCTCCGCAATGTATGTCATTCCTTACTCCTAGACACGTGGCACAATGTGGATTTTTGTACATGTTACCAGTTAGATCATGATACACCGTTGCACTATAGGACTGGCATGCTTTACTCATCTTTTCATCTCTATACATTGCGAAACGATTATCTTCCCACATGGTTGTCGCAATGAATATGAAGAATTGTCCGCGGGGGAATAAAATATAAGGCAGATGTCCTTGATGAAGTTCACAACTGTTGACAGATTACCACCAAAGTCAGGTTCTGAATCGCATAGAGGTTGCGCGACCCAAAATTCCACAAATGATTTCGCAATGTGGTGACACGCTGCACAGTAAACGTTCTTGTATAGATTACCGTCAGGTCCAAATACAGGTACTTTCATCAACATATCCTGACTATTAATTCCTTCACATTGCTGTCGAATTGTTGCGTCTGCCCAGAATTCGGGGCATCTACTAACAAACCAAAACAGGGTTGAATCTTCGGTGCCGGGGTTCAAGCACTCAATATACTTTGATACATTCCTTTTCAACACTGTACTCATATCGTCTACTGAACCTATTCTGCCACCTAACATCTGTATTGAGTGAGTACACTCTAATTCATAGTCATAGCAACAGTCGCCATATTGTATGCATAGATCATCACAGCCACAATGCGTCAGGTTACTGATTCTTCCACAGCTCCCCTTACATGAATTACTTAATGTAGCATTGACATCGTGATTTGAACATATATTCATAGCTACTTCCATGGACTCTAGAAGTTGTCCTGAAATGTTAAAACACAAAGATAAGTTATTGATTTGTTTCGATCATATATTACAACAATTAACTTATGTCACTTTTCACAAAATGAATCCATTTTATCAAAATGTTGATCAAAAATGCAGGGAGTAAGAAATTATATTAACTAATTTCAGAAAACACAGATGAAATAGGCATGTTGCTCTTATATTTTGGTGGGAAAAATTATGTCACTCAAAGCGTTAAATGAGTTGCTCAGGAAGTTTTAGTCTTTTTGTATTATTTACAATGCTAGCATTTCTCTGCATATCTGGTACAATTACATTGCAATCATTATAATTAAATAGAAAACATTTTGCGTTTTAACTTTCGTAACTACCCTTATCCCCCCAAAAAACAAACTACATACTAACGACATATCGAATATAATTACGCATTGATGTAAATGGTGTATCATTACGTCATTACATCTGCTTTGGAATTACTTATTTTTACATGTTTTACAGTAACAGTAGTTACATGTTCTATAGTAACAGTAGTTACATGTCTTACAGTAACAGTAGTTACATATCTTTCAATAACAGTGGTTACATGTTTTACAGCAACAGTAGTTACATGTTTTACAGTAACAGTAGTCACATGCCTTACAATAACAGTAGTTAGATGTTTTACAGTAACAGTAGTTACATGTCTTACAGTAATAGTAGTTACATATCTTACAGTAACAGTAGTTACATGTTTTACAGTAACAGTAGTTACATGTTTTACAGTAACAGTAGTCACATGCCTTACAATAACAGTAGTTACATGTTTTACAGTAACAGTAGTCACATGCCTTACACAAACAGTAGAGTAACAGTGGTTGCATGTCTTACAGTAACAGTAGTTACATGTTTTACAATAACAGTAGTTACATGTTTTTCAGTAACAGCAGTTACATGTCTTACAGTAACAGTGGTTGCATGTCTTACAGTAACAGTAGTTACATGTTTTACAATAACAGTAGTTACATGTTTTACAGTAACAGTAGTTACATGTTTTACAGTAACAGCAGTTACATGTCCTACAGTAACAGTAGTTGCATGTCTTACAGTAACAGTGGTTACATGTTTTACAGTAACAGTGGTTACATGTCCTACAGTAACAGTAGTTACATGTCTTACAGTAACAGTAGTTACATGTTTTACAGTAACAGTAGTTACATGTTTTTCAGTAACAGCAGTTACATGTCTTACAGTAACAGTAGTTACATGTTTTACAGTAAAAGTAGTTACATGTTTTACAATAACAGTAGTTACATGTCCTACAGTAACAGTAGTTGCATATCTTACAGTAACAGTGGTTACATGTCCTACAGTAACAGTAGTTACATGTCCTACAGTAACAGCAGTTACATGTCTTACAGTAACAGTAGTTACATGTTTTACAGTAACAGTAGTTACATATCTTTCAATAACAGTGGTTATATGTTTTACAGTAACAGTAGTTACATGTTTTACAGTAACAGTAGTTACATGTTTTACAGTAGTCACATGCCTTACAATAACAGTAGTTACATGTTTTACAGTAATAGTAGTTACATGTCCTACAGTAACAGTAGTTACATGTTTTACAGTAACAGTAGTTACATGTTTTACAGTAGTCACATGCCTTACAATAACAGTAGTTACATGTTTTACAGTAATAGTAGTTACATGTCTTACAGTAACAGTAGTTACATGTCTTACAGTAACAGTGGTTACATGTTTACCGTGACAGTATTTACATGTTTTACAGTAACAGTAGTTACATGTCCTACAGTAACAGTAGTTGCATGTCTTACAGTAACAGTGGTTACATGTTTTACAGTAACAGTAGTTACATGTCCTACAGTAACAGTAGTTACATGTTTTACAATAACAGTAGTAACATGTCTTACAGTAACAGTAGTTACATGTCTTACAGTAACAGTAGTTACATGTTTTACAGTAACAGTAGTTACATGTTTTTCAGTATCATCAGTTACATGTTTT